GGGAAAACGATCCGCATAAATCCGTGATGTGCCATTTTTGATTTCGTTTGAGCCACGCAACAGACACCACTATTCACTCACGCGTTACCGACTGCACTGACTGTATACAACTGAATAAAATAATTGTAAAAACATCGTTCCAAATTCTTTCGCTTTTTGTTTCCGATGCGATGAAGCGATAAGGCGGATTATATCCGTTGTTACCAAACACGAGCACATAATATTATTATTGAGACTCAAACTTCCAAAGGGCTATAACTTTGTTACTTTAATTTTACCAGAAAAATGGTAAAGGAAAAAACATTTCTTTTGATCAGATCTACTCACTGTTAAAATAAATGACTCAACTTCGAAGTCACCCTGTATATATGTGCGTGACTTATTAATTTAACAATTTTATGTACATGATATACTGCATGATTTAGATCAGATCTGCTGTATACAAGTTTTAAAGCACTAAACATACATTTTATCGGAGGTATGAGCAAATAGAAGACAACTGAAGAAGCAGCGTAATAATTTTCTCAGGTGGTGGCCTTTGACGCAAAGTCTTCAGCTTGTTGTGCTCGACTGCTTTTCTGTAGGCTTTTGTTTCTTACCATTTTGTATTGAAAGACTATTGTTAGATATTGTTTTAGTCGTTTGGTTTGCTGCGTGGAAACTAAAGCTAAAACTGCATTGTTTAAAGCAAAGGCAATGCTAATGCAGAATTGCCAGGATTTGAGTCTTATTCGGAATATTGATTTTATTGATGAAATTAGTTAATATCAGTGGCAGCTCGTGGCAAAATAAAACAGGTGTTTTGCAAATCCGAACTTACCTATTTTTTATATGTCAGTTCGATCATGCGCTCCTTCTTGGCAGCAAATGTGTCGATCGCCTTCCCGTTGAAATTTTCCGAGCACCAACCGATATCGTACTTCGCATTAGATTTGTACGGATCTGTATAACGTGCAGCACACGCTTACTTATGCTTAAATCGCGCGTTTGATTTTGTAGAGAGAGACAAAAGCAAGCGCGTGCGGCTTGTCGAAATAGTGCACAGACCCTTTTCAAGTGGCCCATGAATAATGTTAAGCTGCGGTCGCGACGTAAATGACAAGTACACAATTGGTCGATTATAATGATTTCTCAATACAAAACAGACTCGACGCAGTGTCTTGCGGGGGCAGCGTTGCCGGTATTGTTTCTATTTGTGTAATAACATGGAAAATAATGATCAAATTACTACTGCTTTTTTCTGTTAAGACAAAAGTTTTGGCGGCTCTGCAGCTGTGCAGAACTTAACCCCTGGTTAATATCGTTATAATACTTTGGTTGTATCTTTTGCTATACGGGGTGGTTCAAAACAGCAACAGAAGATAATTACTCGGAATTTGTTCTGAAGCCATTTTTAAAAAGTTTCAATTTTCAGTATTACCAATTTACCCATGAATAGTAGATGCAACATTGCTGAGTTCACGTCTGTAAAAGAGTAAAAAGAATCCAGCAAAGATTCCACGAGCCCGATAAGTGTGTCGATGGTTGTTCCGTGTTGGATGTATAACTACACGACAATAAAGTGAGACGCAACTGCCCCAACCGGCGTCCTGTGACATGATTGTTAGTGGAATACCATAAACCGCCCAGCGTTTACAAACCATTGTTAGAAGACTGAGAAAAGTGAGTGGCGTTCAAGGTTATTTCTTTAAATATACAATAACGCGGTGGTTCAGGTTGTTCAAGCTCTATTATTCGCCCCTAGTTCCTTTGCAATAAAGCTAAATGTGATTTATATTTGATGCCTAAAGTTTACATTGGAGATAATCATGTGGCTTTAATAACACCATCGTAAATTTGATGGTCTGTTTGGGTTCTTAGGGTGGGACTGTTGAGAGGACTGTTACCTGCGCTTTGATAAATGTGTGATGAAATAAACAGTTCCACTTATTAAGATAACGACTTCTTCCCAGAAAAAAAGACAGGGGCGTTATGTTTTTCCGGTAGGCCTCTCACTGACAAGAGGTTAATTTTTGTGATGAACGCTCTGTTCTTTAAGTGTGACAAGTAGCAGTCAAAAAATACTTGACTGCCATAACAATTCATTAACAATAAGATTTTCATAATAAAACTTTGAATTTAGTTTTTTTGACGTTTTCTGGTTTAATTTTTAAGTGATATAAAATAGATTAATCCAACCAAATAAAAGTATCAGTAAATGAAGTAGAAAAGTCAGGATTAACAAATAATTACTTATTTTAATAAAATTTTGACATCGTAATGTAAAGACAAATGCTACAAAAGGCATTGACTTACGTCGAACACAAGAAAATGCAACAGTGGCTGATGTACTACTTATCCAACGTTGGAAGGATATTGCTGGCAAAAATAGGAAACAATGCCAAACGTGTACATTTAAAAATTACTTCCTTTGTTACTAATACTCGTAAATATAGTCAACGCCAAAAAAAGTGGCGTGCACGTCATACGATAAAAATTCCCCGACCTAATGCCTAGGTTTCTATCACAAACAATTGCTCTATTGCAGTTTCATATTAATGTGATATATAATTGTAAAATGGTCATTACTCTCTTATTATGGTTAATAGTCATATAAACATTGTTATTAAAATATCACATAAGTTGCTTTCTGATAAATTTAGACGCATTATGCGAAATAAAATGTTTTGCAAACGCTCCAATCACTTATCGACATGTAAACGCACTAAACCGATTTCGCAGCGTTGACACATTGTCACCTTGAAACTTATTTAAACTGGGAACTGACATTTGTATTAATTTTGACACTGAATCAATTTGTGGCATTTCAAATCTTTATAAATCCTTTGGCCCCGCATACTGTAAATCAACAACTGTTTGTTTCAAAACAAAATTATTCATTTTACGAGTAGATAAAGGCAATTTTGGTATATAAAGATGCCCAAACAGTTAAATAGTCGTGTGTTTGTTTGTTTGTTTGTTGTTTGTTGTTGTTGTTTTGTAAGGAACTCGTGGCCTCGTTAATGCACTACTTTGAGCAAGAAAGGGACAACAACGGGCCTTTGTTGCCTTTAAATGCTGTTCAAGAGGTAGGTTAATAATTATATGTAATGTATATTAATAATAGTGAAATTTTATTTCATTTTTTGTAGCGTGTTGCTGCTGCTTTAAAAATTAGTTTAAGGACAGTTAGTCGTATTTCCGAGGGTGTGAAAAGTGATGCAAATTTAGAATCGCCCAAGAAAAAGCGGAGTTATATTAAACGTGTAACCAACACAGCGACATTGGATACAAGTGCCATTCGAGAAGTGATCTATAATATGTATCACAAAAGTAAGATCTTATTATAATAACTTATCAGAAATTTGCATTAATTTGTTAACTAAATTATAATGTCATATTACACATGGTTTCAGAAGAACAAGTTACGATACAAACTTTATGGTCTCGATTAAGAGATAGGGCATTATTTGATGGTAGTGCCACGTCTTTAAGGCGGTTGCTTAGAGATCTTGGATTTAAGTGGCTTAAGGACAATCCGCGACGAGGGCTCATGGAACTACCAAGTATAGCTTTGAAAAGGGTGGAATTTCTAAGGCAATACAATCAAGCCAAGGTTGAGGCCTTATACCAGTTTGTCTTCCTCGATGAAACTTGGATATTTCAAAATGGGACCATAGGTCGCTCTTGGCAAAATGGAAACCAAAAAAGCGTGAAAGCTATTAAAACAGATGGTAAAAGGTATGTACTTTTACACAATTTGCACTATAAAATTTAAAACTAATATATTTTAGATACATTATATTACATGCTGGAAATGAAAATGGGTTTAGGGGTAGTGAAGCGATATTTTCTTTCGAAAACAAAATTGAGCGATTACCATGGAGAGATGAACCAGGACAATTTTTTGAAATGGTTTTCAACATCAGTTATTAGAAAAATTGGAGAGTCCATCTATGATTATACTGGATAACGCCCCTTATCACAGCATGATATTGAACAAAGTGCCCAACAATGCATGGACAAAAAAAAATATCCAAGACTGGTTGACAAATCAAAACATACCATTTTTAAACACAATGTTTAAAACAGAGCTATTGAGTATTGTTGCTCGGTACATAATGCTTCTTAATTATATATATTTTGGTCGACAGTTTATATTTCTTTTGTTTATTCCTATTCTTAAAATAACTGCTTTTTTAGAAACAAACCACCTAAAATATACGTGATTGATGAATTGGCGGAACAACATGGGCACAAAGTTCTTCGTCTGCCTCCTTACCATTGTATATTTAACCCTATTGAGTTAA